TGTAAAGAGACATTCTCGAAAATTAAGAATACTAAAAAGAACGAATGAGGAACAATTTTGAGCACATTACTGAACATGATTTTTCAAACTTCGTGAGACAATCTTTTTTTACGCAATGTGCTAATAGAGATACAGTCGACTCTCGATACCTCGAATACTAAGGAGACCGGAAAAAAAGTTCGAGATATCGAGAGTTCGAGATATCAAGAAAAGGATTGAAAATAAATAAAATTGCTCGACTTTCATTAAAACAAGTTATTTTTCTGACAAAAATCATTAACAAAAAAAACTACAACTTTTGGAAAAAATCTGTTATCTGATATTTAAATTATCCATCTTTTCCATCTTTATTAAATCCTCAAGTTTTAGTGCTAGGGATTGTATTTCATTTCCGTATTTTGATCTGTATAGCGAAGCATTTTGAATCGTTTCAAAAGCAATTTCTAATTGAATATCAGATGGGCGTGGCGGGGCTTCGACGTCAGTAGCTTCGTCAACGCTATCTTCAACTTCATTATCGTCGTTTTCAAAGTTAGGGTCTAAAATCTGAGCAATGATTTCAGCATCAGTAGCAAGTGAACCGGTGGTTATTTTCAACAGTCTTGTTATTATCAACAGCCTTGATACACAAACGTATAATTTTGTGACGATAATGAGCTTTAAGACTTTGTATTACGCCTTGATCCATGGGCTGAAGGACAGATGTGGTGTTAGTGGGGGAAAATATTAGGTTGATGTTGCTTAGCCCTTCAATGTGTGGGTGGGCAGAACAGTTATCCACCAGGAGTGCTACTTTCCTGTCTTGAGCACGAAAAAATGAGTCAAGTTTCATTACCCATTCTGTAAAAAGGTCTCCGGTCATCCAACTTTTTAGCTGATTTTTATAGGAAGTTGTTTAATGTGCTTAAAACAACGTGGGTTTTTAGATTTTCCAATTACAAACATAGGTAATTTTTCCTGTTAGTCTGACTTTACTATTTTTTTCCCCAAAACATTTTTCTCGTGATAAATGGTATGTTTTGTTTGGTAGGCACTGGTAAAATAGTCCAAATTCATCGGCATTGAAAATGTTTTCAAGTTTGTAATTCAAAAGCAATGTTGGAAGTGTAGTTTCATTTCACGAAGCAGTCATATTATTCGTCACGGCGGCACTTTCGCCTGAGATTATTTTAAAGCTGATGCCGTTCCTAAAAATAGCAACAGAATAGTTCAATTTTAATTACACGTTTAAAAAACTAAATAAATTTAGTATAAACAGATACATGTTATATGTTTATATTAAAATTGAACAAGATTTAACAAAATTTAACTGAGATTTCTTTCCAATTATGAAACCAACAATCAGATGCTTTAAAATCCAACTCTCCTAATGCTTCTGCGAATTTTAGTGCCTTTTCTTTTAGTATGGTACCATCAAGTCCATGTGGTACCAGAGTCGACTGTAACATTAATAGAGAATAAAGTCGTAATCTTTAAAATTGCATATAAATAAATTTTTTCTGAAAATATCATTTCTTTCTTATGAGCCTTTATTGATTAAACACAGTGTAAAATGATTTAAGTTTGATAAGTGATTTTTTACTAATTTATATATATATATATATATATATATATATATATATATATATATATATATATATATATATATATATATATATATATATATATATATATATATATATATATATATATATATTATATACAGTGGAAGGTCGCAAAAGTTGGGGGCTGAAAACATATATAAAAAACGGAAAAATTCCTCAATTTTGTATGACACAGCAAAATAGATGAAAATGATCTATTTATTCAATTATTTATCGCACGCAACGTGATAAATCATCTTTTTAACGTGATTATTCATCTTTTGCCAGCACACATTCATTTAAAATATAGTTAGTATGCGATAGTATTTTAAACAGTTTTATGGATATACTTTTCCATCGTGATGTTTAATTGTGAATTGAGACTGGAAAATGATAATTCCGGTGTTGCTAACATAAATGTTTTTTTTAAAACTGTTTATTTATTATTATTCCCTATCGGCACATCTAGTTTCTTTTTCGGAAATAAAACCTATATAGGCACGTGTTTTTAACGATCCAGGCGTAAACCAAAGGCACGTGTATATTACGGGCAGTTTTACTAGAGTTTAACACGTGATTTTTGAGGTTTTAAAGTCAAATTTAAATGTCGCATATTTTTACCAGTGGTTTCACATTCTTTACGGAAAGTTATTAAAATATAATACTACGTTTCCATAACGGTGAAACCATTAATACTTTAACTGGTATTTATGGTAAATAGTAATAGTTAATTTCACGGAATAAAAACCGTTTTGGATACGTGTTTTAGAAGGTTTTAAAAACGCAACAGAAACCAAGCGTAACTATTTTCTGAGTTGTGCCGGCTGGGTTATTATTACTATTTCTATTATTACTATTATTATTATTATTATTATTATTATTGTTATTATTGTTATTATTATTACTACTAATAATATTATTATTACTACTAATAATATTATTATTACTCTATTACGCAATGCTATTGGATTATACTATTTATTAAACATATAAATTTATTTTTAACTGGAATATGTGGATTATTTTTTATTACTAATCATTTAAGCAATTTATAACATGCATTATGAATTTGATATAAATTTTAAAACCGCCAGATTGAATGGAAAAACCGCCAGATTAAATGGAAAAAACTACCTGATTAAATGCAAAAACCGGTAAAATATAAAAAATAAAAATAGTTTTGTTCACCATGTCCAAGGACGTAATATGATCTATAAACTCAAGCGAAATCTTTATATGGAAAAAAAGAGTTAATCACAGAAAAATATTAAAACAATATTGTAAGTGAGACAAAATTTCCGACAAAAATGAGAAATTTAAATACTTAAAATAATAGTGAAAACTAAGTGTAGGGAATAGAGACCACAAGTAATCTATAGTTTGATCTATATATGATCTACAGTTTTACCTACAACATCTAAAAAATTCGTTTCACTTTGCAGTATTCATTCTTGCAAACTAAATATCACTTTTTTACAAAAATATGATTTTTGACGTCTAAGTTTTATTAATAATAAGTTCTTATTAAAAAGCGCTCACGTATCAAATTTGACATTTTAAAACAGATGAGCTATTTCTGTATAACTATTATGCATTAATTTTTAAAAAATGTTAGAGTTTTGTAGGTAATTGTACTTTTTAAAAAAAGTAGTTAGAAAAGCGAAATTATTGGAAAAACGTCGGTTTACTTTTATAAATTATTCAGAAAAATGACGCTAAAAATTATAGCTCCCATAGGTTTTTGTTTACTTGCGGCGCCTCAGATCTATAACAATGGGTTAAACGTCCATCTATTAATACGTCCTTGCCATGTCTAATATCGCACCAGCAGAAATTTGTTGCGCATACGTCACAATAGAGGTACTTAAGTTATTAATGTGAGTCGGCGCGTTTTGCACATAATAAAGAGAGAACTTTTTTTCTTATAGGCAAAAAGATTTTACATTCAAACTTATATTTTTCACAAAATTAAATTACGGGCTAAGGGTCCTATTAAGCTCCGGATGGTATGGAAAAAAATTCATAAAAATTAAATAGAAACTAAATAAAGAAAAAAGTTTTTAAGTCTGTACCCGTTTTTTTATAGAAGTTTACAATTTTACAATAGGAAGTTATAAAGAATTGAACATTAATCGTTAAACTCAAAACTAAAATTTGACAGATTTATATTTTCTACCACTTACTAACAAATATTGAAATAAAGCGACTATATAAAATTAACCTTTTTTAAGTAAATTTAAAATTTAGTTCAAATTATTATCCGGCAAATTAAAGAGTTCTTCGACGTAAAATTTGGAATGCAATTTAATTATATTCATTTGCACATTTTATTTAAAAATTGACAATTTTACTGTCTTAGCAAGTGAATTTTAATTATGATTAAACCATGTTACTATAATGATAACAATAAGTTATCACTGAAAAAATTCCAGATGACACTCCATCAAAACTAGGGGGCGGCAAAGCACTAGTGGTATCCTTTTTGCTTTTTTATCTTAAAAACTTAGAATAAAGTATAAAGTAAAACCATTCTATTGATATGTGTTCAGTTATTTTACATAATTTTATTCAAAAAAAAAAAAAAAAACTTAGGTGGATTGTGCCACTAAAACAATTTTTTTTACATTGTTATTGTTTGTCTAGACTAGCTGATAATCTTTTGAGAAAATTTCCTAACAAATAAGCATGAAATATTACAAAACTTAAAACAAATAAATTACCAACAACAAAACAAAATAAAAAATGACATAAAAATTTTCAACTATTATTTCTTTATTATCATAATTTGTTATGAAATTCACGATAATATTAAGCTATTTTAACCGTTTATTCAACTTTTTACGCATAATTATGTGCCAGTCAATAGCATGTAAGCTAATTTAATACCTAACCACTTAAATTAGTAGAAACCAGTAAAGAAATTCTAAAAATACTTTTTTTTAATGTTTAATGTTGATTAATAAACACGAGCTATCGTATATGTATACAATGTATTGTTTATTAAGTATTTCCAGAGTTGTGCAAAACAAATAAATATGAGCGTTTTGAATATCTAATTTTAAACACTTTTTTTTTCAAAGTTATATTTCAAGAAATGTTATTTAATTAGATTTATTTAAAAAGTTTGAATATATATATATATATATATATATATATATATATATATATATATATATATATATATATATATATATATATATATATATATATATATATATATATATATATGTATATATATATATATATATATATATATATATATATATATATATATATATATATATATATATATATATATATATATATATATATATATATATATATATATATATATATATATATATATATATATATATATATATATATATATATATATATATATATATATATATATATATATATAAACTTTACTTCAGTAGGAAGAGCATATTATCTCCAGTGGTTTTGACGTCTTATGTTGATATAATGTCTAGTAGTTGCTGATACAGACCCGTTTTAAACTTTGAACGAACGATTAGAGAGTTGAATGAGTGATAAGCGATCATTATATTCGGTATTGATTTATAAAGTTGTTTTTTAATTTACGTTCTTCGAAACTTTGAAACGGCTATTCGAAATCTGTTAGTAAAAGTATTTAATATTAATCCAAATTATTTCTACTGAAACAAAAGTATTAATTTAGTATAATCTAATTATACTATAGATTAAGAAATTGCAGTTTGAATATAAATGAATTAAAAAATAGGTCCTTAAAAAATCACTAACAAAAAATAAGCAAGCAATCCTAATAACCAAGAGAATGAAAGTTTTTACTTTTTTGGAACACGTTTTTTAATTAAATGTATATCTTGAAATATCATTGGTGAAACTGAAAATTGATGAAAAACCTTGCATGAGCAGTTTTGAAGATTTTGAAGGGTAAAAAACTATTCTAATGTATGACTATTTTAATTTGTTTAAATCAAAAGGTATTTTTAATGAAAAAAACAACAAATATCCCTAAATACTTGTAAATGCTTTGCGCAAAATTATTTAACAGCTAATACGAGGTTAAGCAGTTTTACCGATGATGCGTATGCTACTAAAATATGTGTGTGCGTACACACACACACACACACACACACACACACACACACACACAGACACAAACATGTGTGTGTGTGTTATCACCATATTGTGTTCATAATAAAAACTGATATATATATATAACTATATATATATATATATATATATATATATATATATATATATATATATATATATATATATATATATATATATATATATATATATATATATATATATTACTAAATACATACTCACATGTATATGCAATATAAGTTTCAGATATATAGAGAGAGATAATAAAAATGTATTATTTGGCGTTAACTGTGATAGTTTTGCTTCTGTCAATACTATGGTTTTTTCCAGTTGCAATATATCGAATTTTGCTCAGGTAAAGTTTTTTTTACAGTTTTTTATACAAACAGTTTATTTATTAAAACTGTCATTTGCGCAAATGAAAGTTTTAATAAATAAACTGTAAGTAAAATGACCTAATAAGCAATATTTTAAAGATAATATTTAAAAAAAATTAAAAAAAGTTACAATTGTACTTCGTCATTGATTATCATTTTTTTATTAGTGACGTAACAGCATCTGTAACTTTTTTCATTTTTTTATTATTATCTTTAAAAATTGCTTATTAGGTCGTTTAACTTTTTAAATTACTTTTATGAAACTATTTGTTTATAAGTTTAATAAGTTGTTAATAAGTTTTTTGTAGAAAAAAATGTTTCAAAAATAGGAGGGTGTAAATTTGGTGAAGAACTTTATAGGGAAAAAATAAAACATGACGAACTAGGAGGAGGAGTTATAATATAAGAATAAATTATTTGATTCGATATTTAACCAGTTAAATAGTTATTATAATAAATTGTAAAGCTCCAAAGGAAAGGCACTACTGCTTTTTTTTTTACAGCAAGCATACAACCATAATATACATCTTTACATTTCAAAATATATGCGCAGTTAAAATAAATAAATATACAAACGCATTGTTATATTTAACTTGTCAAGTTTATTTTACTCATTCAATCAATCAATCAATTATATATTCTGGAAAAAAGATCTAATTTCTACGGTCGTTTAAAAATAGCTATAAGAACTAATATAAAGTAAAAACCTCTTTGATGATATAAAACATATTATAGACACATAGTTATAATAATAAAAATAATAAAAATAGATATAAATTAACAAAAGCACAATAATAAAAATAATTAATTGTATAGTAACAATAATAACAATAATAATAATAAAGTAATTATAATAATTTAAATAAATCGGTATTACTTTCCACACAGCAATCATATTTAAATACAAAGTTACAGTTATAAACAGTAATAAACTGACAAAACGTAACAACTAACAATGACATTAAAACGACTACTGCTAAAAAAAATATAATAATTAGTAAATATATTAATATAATCATAGTTAAAATATGATAATCAAAATATAATTACCAACTGGTAAAAATAATAATTACCAATTAAAAAATTAATTGGTCATATAATGACCAATTAATTTTTTTTTTTTTAAATATATTTTGCTGTTTATATAAAAATAAAAAATAAAATTAAAAAGAAACTTTTATGTTACACAAAGAATATATATGAAACAGACAGGGGCTCAAAGAAGATAAGGATGACTGGTGTCATCACAATCTTTTCATAGAGCCCCTTTACAATATTATTTAAAGCCCACATGGCTTTAGAAAATTTACAATAGAATTGTAAATTTTCTATCTGTAAATACTACGTGAAGAATAAAAAAAAACTCATATATAAATGCATACTCATATATACTTATACACATAAAAACACACATATACACAAACATACTTACATATATGTCAGAAATTAAGGAGATGCAGTTTCATTTGTCATTTAAAAGAGAAAGTGCTCAAATATTTTATGTTGAAATTTTTTATGTTATTATTTTTTAATTGATTCCATAATGACGGGCCTTAGCTAATAATTGAGAATTTCGACACTTGCGATTTTATTCTGCTCAAGTGATAGTTATGGTTGTTATTTGACCGAAGATTGTATTTTTGTGAAAATGCTGATGTAAAAATATCAGAAAACACTTTTGGCAGCAAGTTATTTTTATGTTTATACAGGGGAAGGGTTTTCTAATGTCTCTTTAAATAGTTAACTGCTTTACATGCGTGGTTTTGTCAATGATATATTAAGAATAACTAGATGTCTAACTGCCGTTAATCGGTATAAGAAAAAGTGAAGCAAAAATCGGCCATTATGGGGGGCAAAATCTTTACGCTATTAATCAAAACAAAACAAATATGCTTAAAATTGTTTAAAAATGTAATCAATAAAAAATCGATACACAGATATCGAAAAAATTTAATGTTATTTTGATTTTGATTTAAAATTTAATAATTATGTAAAACATGCATTGTTTTTTTAAACATTTCAAAATCATACTTATTTCATTTTTTTTTTTTTTTTAATTTAAGTTTGAATGATTTTAAAATTTAACATTCAGCTAAAATCTTAGATTTAGTTGGATTTTAATTTTTAATCTATTAACATTTTATGCACCTGTCAGTCATTAATTACCCTCTGCAGTAAAGCTAGGAGGTTTTATAACATAACTGCAAGGTAAACAGAGTTAAAACTTGTAATGAAACATTTTATAAAACTGTCTTGACTATTAACTAAGTTCTGTGTGACACAACTTAGAGGTTCCTTCTAGAAATGTTAGAATTTTATTTATGGTTAAATACTTCTTGTTATCATAAAAATCATTATTACTTTTTTCTATAACTGATTTACCGTCAATTAAATAAATTTCATTCAATGTTATGTTATAATCTAGTAAAGTTTTCAACACAAAAAAAGCTTTATAGGTATTCAGGTATATAAAGAATATCTTTCCTTTGAAAAGCAAGTTTTTCAATATAAACAACAAATCAAGAAAAGTAACAGTTAATAAAACTTAATTTAATATTTTTATTTATAATATTATCATATATATATATATATATATATATATATATATATATATATATATATATATATATATATATATATATATATATATATATATATATATATATATATATATATATGTATATATATATATATATATATATATATTATATATATATATATATATATATATATATATATATATATATATATATATATGAGGAGCAAACATTCAAACCGTGTTTTCTCAAAAAAAAATAAAAACTGAGTTATTGATGGTTTCTTGTAGTCCATGTTAAATAGCACCAGATTCAAGCCTTAGTTTCAGTCAAATCATGCTTTATCCTATTTAAAAACAGCGTGCAAAACTAACTGTTCAATCGAAGAGTGTTTTCTCCAAGGTCGGTGTTCAGTCAAACAGTGCTTTCTCCAGCTGACCAATGGGAACGGTCCTCTCTGATCACATGACTAGTTGGCATAAGCTGTTTTAACACGTGGTTCAGTACTGAAAGTAAGGTTATGGTAGGTAGTTCACTATTACTATAGCTCTACAATTTTATTAGTTTCAATCTTTCGATTTCAAATGGATGAAGTGGTTGATGGTATTTTAGTAAGTATTGGAAACACTGGAGCTCGTAAAAGACAGGCAACTGGCAAAAGAAGAAAAGAAGAAAAACAGAAGCGTTATTCATCACCTGCAGGAACCAATGTATACATTCCGTGCAAGCATTCAACAAAGAAGTTCTCATGTTGTGATATTAGACCTTACGATGTAAAGAAACTGAGGGACAAACTTTATAAAGTTCCTGACAAACTTCGTCAAGATTCAATAATTAGTTCTCTAGTTGAAACAAAAAATGTTATTCGACGAAGGCCTAATAACCCTAACCTAAACAAGTCGCATAAGTCAAGCTCTCAACATGCCTTTTCTACAAACTACTTCATTGTTGGAAATAAAACGAGAATTCCTGTTTGTAAGAATAATTTTATTGCCATTACTAAAGTAGGAAGGACAAGATTGGCCAATATTGTTTCCAAAATTCATGCTGGAGATCCTATTGAGGATAGAAGAGGAGGTGATAGGAAAAGTAGCCACAGCATTGATAAAAAGAACAAAGTGAGAGATTTCATTTCTAATTTGAAAGCATCAGAAAGTCACATGGGAGAAAAAAATCTAGACGTTTGTATTTGAACTGTAAATTGAATATAAGAAAGCTGCACCAAATTTATTGTGACCAAATAAAGGATGATTTGTACAGAGTGAGTTTTGCCATGTTCAGGAGAGTGTTTGTTAATGAATTTATCATTGGCTTCAAATCGCCATCAAGTGATGTTTGTAGCACGTGCGCCCTTCTAGACCAGAAAATTAAAACATTGCCATCAGGATCCATGGAACGTGTAAACCTTATGACTCAGAAAAGGATTCATAAACTTAGGGCAAATGCATTTTATGCGTACATGAAAGAAAAAACCGATGAATCTGTGTGCAGTTTGTGTTTTGATCTACAGCAAATACAACAATTGCCAAAAACAAACATTCAAGATGCATATTATCTGAGGCAGTTGAATTTTTATAGTCTATATATTACTAGTTTGGATGGCAAAACCCCAACATTTTATACATGGTCTGAAGAGCAGGCAGGAAAAGGCAGTACCGAAATTTCCTCAGCTCTACATTCTCACCTAAGAACAATGAATCTTAAAGGAATCAAGACTTTACGACTTTTTTGTGACGGATGTGTTGCCCAAAACAAGAACAATATCAACCTTCAAATGCTTTTGCACTTTGTCTACTCTTCAAATAATGCTGACATTCAAGAAATTCAACTCTACTTTCCGGTCAGAGGCCATAGTTTTCTGCCAGCAGATCGTGTGTTTGGTAGGGTTGAGAAAATCCTTAGGAAAAGTGTAACAATAATATCCAAAGAACAATATTATGAAATTTACAAGAACATTGGAGCTGTAAAAGTTATGGGTGTTGATTGGGAACTTCTAAATACCAAATCACTCAACAGGTTCTTCAAAAATTTTTCATACATATCAGAATTAAAAAGGATCTTTCTCAAGAAACACCCAGGAACAGGAGCTGTCAAGGTCAAGGGCTTCAGAAACTATAGATTTGAAGATGGAAGTGAGCAAGCTGGAGAAGTTCTCCTGAAAAGAGGAATAAAAGTTTCAAACGTCAGAAATATAACTTTAGAATCTCTTCCACTAAATCGTCCCATTTCTGCCGAGAAGAAAAAAGATGTTGAGAAACTCTTGAAACTATTATATGGCGATGGATGGCAGAGTGAGCCTGATTTTGAATGGTACAGGAAAATATTATTCGATAAACAAGACGGGAATGAAGAGGAAGATGAAGTGTGTGACTGTTTGGATGAAGATATTGGAATGAGAATTTAAATTGTTGAGTATGTATTATTATTGTGTTTTATGTTAC